CCAAACAACCAAGGTGTTTTGGGGGTGTAGACACCCTGTTAAGACCAAGACTTGAACTCAGACATGTTCCACAGACATCCTGTTAATGAGAATACAATGCAAAAACATGACAAGCTGCCATCTAAGGGTTACACCCTAGCATAACACCAAACTGGTACTTGACTATTCCAGCTATGGCTGAATTTAAGACACAAGAACCAGGATAACAACAAACATATAGGATGGCACAGCAGCCTCAAAGAAGCGATACAGGTATAAATAAAAAAAATAAATAAAAAAATGAGCAACTCTCATTGTGTGTAGCTCTCCTTCTATGCGTATTAAGTCCATGAAGATGACTAGGTTTGAAAGTCTCTGGGACAGTCCCTTCATCCATTTTATTCCTGGAAAAAGAGATTCCTGGAGATGGAAAAAGTCTTCTCGTTTCCTCTTGTCACTTCAGTTTTACCCCAAGCAGTTTATAGTGGACAACAAATTAGTATTACCAGTGCTGACAAAAAAGATGAAAAGTTAATAATGTCAAGAGGGTACTGCTTTGTATGCCAAAATAAAATAATCATAAAAATGTTTGTATCTCGTGTTAACTCAAGTGTGTTCATATTACCAAAAAATGTAAAATACAAAAACATGAGAAAGTGTTTGTTAAAAATTTTAGTTAATTTAAATCCATTTTAGCCTCAAACATGAATGCTAGTTCACAGTTGGCTAATTTCCCTGTTAACCACAAAACAAAGTAGAAAAAAAATTTTCAAGACATGAGCAATGCGAATTTCCAACCTGTTAAACCCCAACGCCCCCAAAGCCGGGGGCAAGAGGGGGAACATCTGGTTTCATGGACCGTGTTGCTAGGGCTGTTTCTCAATATACATACTTGTGTGTACCTGCGTTCACGTGGACTTGAGATATGTCATCAGTCGCAGACCAAATATGGTTCCAAATCAAAGTACGCATCAAGTATGCTCAGAATTCCTGGATGTGTTCTCGCTCCTTCCATTTTATCAAGCATCGGTGGTGACTTGGGTGAACTTACAGCCAAATATCCCAGAATGCATTTTGTCCAAAACTCAAACGTGGCAATGGTGGAGGAGGGGAGCTAAACTTTTAAGATATTTCCAGGTGAGAATGTACCTGTGTAAACTTCAAATATCTGCTCGATTTATAAAGACATCGCATATTTGCAAAATTGCTCTGACGTTTTCCGAGACATCTGTTACCCCACCAGCTCAATAGCTCAGCGGTCCCCAAACCCAGGGCCACAGACCGGTACTGGTCCGTGAGTTGTTTGGTACCGGGCCACGAGAGTTGAGGCTCCGGTGTGAAATTTATGGTTTTCAGGGATTTTATTGTTTTTCTATTGTTATTTTTCTATGGTTTTTATCTTTAACTCTGTTTCCCTGGGTCTTTTCCCATGTGTTATGACTAAATTTTCCTTTTTTTGGTACCGGTACTGGTTTTATTTTGTTGTATTTACAGCAACACCTTAAAGGCCGGTCTGTGAAAATATTATTACTGGGCCGTGGCGCAAAAAAGGTTGGGGACCGCTGCAATAGTGACAGGGTGGTCAAGGCTCACTAGAACCGGCGAGAACAGCGGACTCCCGGTACATCGTTTTTAACCCCCCAGCGGTCTTTTGCACCTCAGGTTAAACATGATATACAAGTCACTTAGCTTCTAAAAGTTAAGGTTTGGTTTATTTTGGTGTTTTATTTGTTCCTGAGTGAATCAGTTTGGCTGAGATTAAAGTTAAGCTTCATAACTGTACTATTTTATTTAATACTTAAGTCTTACTTGGAGAGCTGTCAGTGTATTTTAAATTTCACCAGTCACACCACCTGAAGTAAAATGTTCTGTTCTTATTTAAAAAGCTGGGGGAATTAAATCTAACATTAAAAATATTTAAATTCAGGAGGAAACATTTTCACTGGGAGCAAAAACAGCATGTTAATACATGGAGATCCTGAAGCCTGCTCCAAAAATGATTAGATTATATTTTAAATATTTGTTTAATTCTTTTCCAAACCTCAGCAGCTTGTAAGTTTTGAGTGTCTACTAAAATGAAAATAAAACCGTTCTACCATCTCACCTGTTTGTTATTATTCACACACACCTATCCTATTTTGATTAATAGAGAGAAAAGCTTGTGTTTCTGTCATGTAGTGATTGTGCTTAACTGTATGAAGCATATTAGACATTATGAAACAGATGACACGTAAAAGCGAATTTTGCAAAAGTGCGTAAGATAAAAAAAAAAAAAAGGGTTCTTAAAAAAAAATCTACTACATCTTATGTAAATTTTTTCATGTCATGTGTAATTTCCATTGCAAATATGAATCACAGTTAAATTAAGAGGGAATGGCAGTAAAAACTCTGGAATGGAGATGTCATCAAGTACACTAGCGTTCCAATTGTAGACTGATCGCGCTGCGTTCTCGGACTCCTGTGTGAACTTACAAAGTCTACTACAAAGTCTACTAGAATAATTGAGAAACGCTCCTCCTGTGGTATTCACAGAAACCGCATACAAAACATTGCTACGACCACTAAGACGACAAAACAATTAAAGGCGCATTACAGCACATTCCGCAAAATGTTGTAAACACAAAGCACGAATGTTCGATTCTCCTGATGGCAGGTACACGGACCCAACACCTGGACTCAAAGCCGACATCTCGCAGATTCCAAAACAGCAAGTTTCGTCACACTGCGACCGAAATTCACTGGACCAGCAGCAAAAGAAGACCAAAACTATGATTCATTTTTAGAAAACAGTGAATTATGTCTTACCTGTGCTGTCTTTCTTGCATCCAAAACAAGTTCCCACCGCTGCCAGCTACATTAACTGAATAACTGCATCTCCCATAATGCCTCAGAGCCATTTTCTGTCAAAAAAAAATCGCCAAAGTCAACCCGATGACAGAGATTGGACAATGGCAAGTGTCATGCGTTTGCTGCGCGTAAGTTTTTGGCTTTGCAATTTGCGTTTTGTTGGGAGTGACGTAAACGTGGTGACGCTATCCGTGATCCTATTGGCTTAAATGGCGGGGTCAATCATGCAAATTGGCCAATAGAAACCGAAGTGCCTGCTCCACAGAATTTAAAGTCTCAAAGACGCAGTGCAAAAACAAGGCCCATTATACCTGTGTGTGGGTAATCCTTCAATATATATATAGAAAAAACCACTAAGCATTTTTAGGCATGCAATAAACTTAGATCATTTTTGCAGTTTAATTCCTAAGAAATTTCAGCTGTCACAGATTCTGCCAAGATGAGCCAAAATGTGCCAAATTGCAGAACCATCTGTAACTTTGGTCAGCAGCATCAGCCTTTGCACAAATAATGTCTATATGTTGATTCGTGGATTTCTGGAATTTATTGTCTACCACAGGATAATATCAAAGGGGTTATATGCTGTAACATTCACAAAAAAATAAGCAGGAAAACAATCTTCTTACCTGTGTTCCATCCTCAGTTACTATGACGCAGTAGCATCTGCTGTAATATTTACACCTATGATGAAGTCTCATTAGTATTAGGTTTGTTTTGATTGTTTACACAGAGTTTGTAATTGCAGAGAAATACTCTATTCATTTTGGGCATGTCATCAAGCTGGCACCTTTGGGGTTCAAGATGTTAAATTTGGATTATTTTTATTGTGATAGATAACTAAAATATGGGGTGATGCCAGCAAGAAATTAAACAAGAAAAAAGATGTTACCATCATTTTGTTTTGTTTTTACTTTTTACTTTTTAATACAGGTCATGTAAACATGTATGTGGGGTAGACATCACAAAATAAATTGTCATAAAAATGTTTTCACCTGTTTTTGACCTTTTTGTCTGTTCCCAGGATGAAGTTAACCAAATTGTGACCAGTAATGTCCGTCTCCGACAGGTAAGTCTGTGTGACTACAGCTGGCCATGCATTATAACTTTAAGTGGGACTGCACACCATTTGAAGGTTGGCCTAATGCTATGGACATCACTGAAAGTTACAAGTTACCAGAAAATCACAAGCTTCGCAGATTTTGATGAATATGATGCAAAGCAATGAAGAAAATAAGTCATAAAAAATAAATTAAAATATAATGTAATTGATTTCCTCCCAGCATTCCACTATGTCCCACACAAGCACTGCGTTTGTCCCACAGTTACTTTACTGGGATCTGGTCATCCCATTTAATCCTCTAATCGGCATCACATAGCTAAATACAACCTTAGAAGTGAAATAATGATCTAAAATTTTTACTCACTTTACAGCAATGGGTAGACGTTAACTTACGGTGGAATCCTGAAGACTATGGAGGAATCAGAAAGATCAGAGTTCCTTCATCTGACATATGGAAACCTGACCTTGTGTTATACAACAAGTAATTTTCATTTCTCTTTGTGTTAAAAAAAGCAAACAAACCTATATTTGGTGGTGGTGGTGGGGGGGATTAATGACTTGCTGCTCCACTTACATGCTTGGTTTTCCTTTGCCTCTGTCCTCTACCCTCCTTTTTATCTGCAGTGCTGATGGTGATTTTGCCATCATCCATGAAACTAAAGTCCTGCTAGAGTACACTGGCAAGATCATATGGAACCCTCCAGCCATCTTTAAGAGTTACTGCGAGATTGTTGTCCTTCACTTCCCATTTGACCTACAGAACTGTACTATGAAATTGGGAACCTGGACATACGATGGCCTGCTGGTCGTAATCAACCCGGTGAGCGTAAATGCTTTTTTTAATCTGGGAATTTAGACTGTGTGCAAAACAGCTGAACGTGGGGACGCTAAAAAGTTTGTGAACCACTGTCTTTTAGGAGAGTGATCGACCTGACCTCAGTAACTTCATGGAGTCAGGTGAATGGGTGCTAAAGGACTACAGAGGGTGGAAGCACTGGGTGTACTATACTTGCTGTCCTGACACACCATACCTGGACATTACCTACCATTTCCTGATGCTGCGACTGCCTCTCTATTTTATCGTTAACGTCATAATTCCCTGCATGCTGTTCTCTTTTCTCACGGGATTGGTCTTCTACCTGCCTACTGACTCTGGTATGTTCATTCTGCAAGCTTGATAGGTAACAGAAAACAATTGTCAGTGATTATTTTTTTTCACATTACTTTGAACTTAGAGGTGGTTCACTTTCTCTGCAGGTGAAAAGATGACTCTCTCCATCTCTGTCCTGCTGTCTCTGACTGTCTTCTTGCTGGTTATTGTGGAGCTGATCCCCTCCACTTCGAGTGCTGTTCCCCTCATAGGGAAATACATGCTCTTCACAATGGTAATGGTCATTGCCTCTATCATCATCACTGTTATCGTCATCAACACACATCATCGCTCACCAAGTACGCACACCATGCCGGGGTGGATCCGTAAGGTTTGTATGGGGGTATTTTTTCTCTCTCCACTTGTAATAAATGGGAAATATTGTTGCTGTTTTATAAGACTAGTAATATCATAATTTTATCTCCCTGCATCTCAGGTCTTCATTGAAACCATTCCCAACATGATGTTCTTCTCAACAATGAAGCGTCCCAGTCAGGAGATCCGGCAGAAGAGGCTATTCCCTACTGACATGGACATTTCCGACATCTCAGGTGAGGCTAAACTGCAACTCCCATTACCATTATTGTATGCTAGTGAACAGTTTTAGTTTAAGTCTGTCCTAAAATTGTTGACCTTCCTCTCTCCTCTGTAGGTAATCCTACCCCGACGGCTGTCACCTATCAGTCCCCCATTGTTAAAAACCCTGATGTTCGTAGCGCAATCGAGGGGGTGAAGTACATCGCAGAGACTATGAAGTCAGATGAAGAATTTAACAATGTAAGAGAAAATCTGCATGAATTATTGATAGTGTATCAATCCATAAAATTTCTTAGAAGTTCAGAGCCTTGCATTCAACTCCCCAGCCATTCTTGTGCTTCTCTAAAACTTAAAAGAATCTACAAGTGTAGGCACAGTAATCAAAACTTTTTACATTTCCGCTCTGAATCTGGATCTAAATGAAATGGCCAAAAAGACAATGATTTAATGGTTTAATGGTTTAATTAATTAAATGGAAGGTTAGAATGACAGTAAGTGTGCCAAACAGTGTGGCCCCAGGAAGTCACCCCATCTGGGGAAACTCCATCTAATCCACAGTTCTCCAAAAAACAACTACTTGTTATTTCATATTAATAAAACTAATATAATGTTTTGAATGTATAAGCTTACTGGCTTCTACATTCTAGATTAATCATTTCTACACCGAAGAGAATGACAGGAGTCTTTCTTATCTTCTGCCAATAAATGTAGTCCACAAAATCATATCTGACAGATAACTGGGCAACATTAGGTAATCTGATTTTCCACATCTTTTAGTAATGTTATTGATTCAATTGAAAAGCTTATCTCATTTTGTGTCCTAGCAACTGATCAGTAAATTCCAAATATGTGAATGCTCAAAGTTAAACTTTCTTCCATACCGTCTTATTGCAGGCAGCAGAGGAGTGGAAGTTCGTTGCCATGGTTTTGGATCACATCCTGCTCTGTGTGTTCATGGCTGTGTGCATCATCGGGACTCTTGCTGTCTTTGCTGGGAGACTCATTGAGCTCAACACACTGTAGAGGCCTTCATGATGGAGGAGAATGCATTTATCCCACTGTCCCTCACGCACAGATAGGCAGTCAAAGGTCGAGCTAATTTCAAAATTCTGTTCAGGGCCTTTAATTGTGTTGACTTTGAATGTGCAGATATTTTTTACTTTTATTGAGGAGTCTGCAGTAAAAACTCCAGGCATCTCACAGGTATGACGATACACAAATATCTTGATGGGTTATACTGGGTCACACAAAGCTGTTCTTGTTATTAACAATCCAGCATTTTTCTATTGTTTCTCTTGTATTTCTACAGTTGGTGATTGCTGCCCTCACAATTGCGCAGACTGTTATTTTACATGTAAAATCACGAACAGTAGTTGTTACGTTGTCATATTTGGCAGCTTGATTTAAGGTTTGTGTGATTGGTTCTCTTAAATGTTATTGTCAGATGTTGTCTTGGATTATTTTCCCCTTGGAACTTTGATTGATTGGTTTTGCCAGACATTCAGTTTGACAATATCTTAAGGGGTTTTTTCTACTATACTCACAAGATAATAGCAAGGTTTTATCAAGTAAATTTTTCCAAAATATGTTAAAGTCAAGCGGATCTTTAGTTACCCTATAGCAAGTAAAAGTGGTTCAAATAATTAAGATTGGTTAGTCAGCTTTGATTCCATTAAGTGAAAAACAATGGAAATACCACAGCTGCAGTATTGGCCAATGTGCTTTAACAAGCTAAAGACAGCTTGATGTATGTATGCAGCTGCGACAGACCATTTATTTTAGTATAATGATATGGTTCAGTCCTGCTGTCTGTGTTAATCATTTGTTTGTTTTTTTGTTTTAATTTGTAGTTTTCTAGATGTGGAATAAAGTGAAAAATAACATTTTGTTTTAGTGTTATGAAGTTCAGACTACACTGACAAATCACTGGATGTTTTCATTTCTTGTCATGTTCAAGAATCCAGTTTAATTTGTTTTTGTGTTGTTTTCTTACCGTACTTGGAAGAAAGGTATATGGTGGTCACAAAAGGACAGCCAGGGTCAACAATAGTCAGTGTGTCATTACACCACCACCAGATATTACCTGAACTGCTGATTTAAGGCAGGATGTTGTTTTTGTCAAATTCTGACCATACTGTCTTAATTTGCAGGAGAAAGCGAGACTTATTTGACCACCCAATATTTTTCCAGTCATCCATTGTCTGATTTTGATGAGCATGTGTGAACTGTAGCCCCAGTTTCCTGTTCTGAGCTGGCAGGAGTGGCACCTGGTGGGTTTGCTGCTGTAGCCCATCTGGTTCAAGGTTCCATGTGTTTTGCATTCAAAGATGCTCTTCTACATTCGTTAGTTGTAACGACTCATTATTTGACTAGATATTTTCTCATTTTCTGACTATTCTCTGTAATCCCCAAAAATGATTATGGAGGATAATCCCAATAGATCAGCATTTACAACAGCACCAACAATTACACCACCTTCAAAGTCACTTAAATCACCTGCCTTCCCCAGTCTGGTGGTTGGTTTGAACTTCTGCAGGTCATCATTGCCATGTGCACCTGATTAAATGGAAAAATAATGTTCAGTTGCTGCCATGTGACTGGCTGATTACACGTGTTAATTACACGCATTAACACGCACTTGAACAGGTGTGCCTGGCAGTGAGTGAAAGATGGTCAAAGTAAATTTGGTTGTTCACAAAACCCATTTAGAGTACACAACCTGTGACAGAATAATTAATAAGTCCACTAAAAATCACAAGTGGTGTCTGACAGTGAACTGAAAAGTGATTTACGGTAATCTAAGAGAAGGATCATAATATTTAGGATCAAAACAATTAACAAAACACAACCACGGCAGTCCTTTGTTGTTGAAAAACTCTTTATTGGGCGTTCCAAGTGCAAATTTAATGACAAAAAGCATGGGTAGAAATCCCATTTGATAAATTTAGGAAGGCAAAAACAAAACTACAAACGGAAAAGAAACAAGTATTACACATCAGGATGCGAGACACCATGTTGAGGATCTGGGACATTTTTTAAATATTTAACAGGCAGCCTCATATTTTGAAGTTATACACATATTTCACCAGCATGTAAAAATACCAAAAACGGTTTGTTGATATTGGAAGCATTAAGCTAACCACAAGTCAGTAAGATGCTGCAGCTACCAGTTTTTTCCCCAACTTTGTAAAACAATCAGATGAAGGGAAATAACGGGATTAAAAAAAAAATTAAAAATTCAAGTGATACTCTACGTGTCATGACAGGAGACTTGAAATTCACAAAGTGTTCTCTCCTTAACATTTGACCAAGGTTTAGCCAAAAATATTCTTGCCTCTGGATTCTTTGGGCTGTCCCAATCCTACCAGCCAACTTTTGGCAAAACTATTTTCCCCACGTCATCAGGGTGTGTCTCTGGGACCCAACCTGTGCAACACAGGTGATGCAGGACATTTACATTTGCATAGACACTCACCATTTCTCCTGGTTCCACCTAATAACACAACAAGCCAAAAGAAGAATTAATTCCCATCCCTTAAGCTACAGCTAGGACTTAGAATAATGGCACCAGGTACCTACTGTGAACATTTAGAATGAACGTAAACACCGAGACGTAAACTCTTTCAATATTTTATGATCTAATGTTTACCGAAACAGAATCAAGGAATACACTTAAATAGCTGTGAACACAATGGCAATAAAAGGTTAAGTGAGTACATTTTTAAAAAAATGTCTGATTTACTAATAAAAACACTGTATAGCCAAATAAATAAAATAAAAATATAACTCAGTGCAAATGACGACGTGAAGTAGAGACGAAGCAAAGCAATGGATTTGGCAAATTATAATCCTAACTGAGTAAAACCATTGGCAATGAAAACATACAGATAAACTGGCAGCTTAAGCTCAAAGTCGTTTGTTTCTTCTGCTTGCTATACAGAAGTTTATTCAGCAATTTTTTCATTGTTATCAGCTAATAAATATTAATGTTATAACTAAGCTAATAACAGTTTTTGACAGGCAATATCTTGCAGACATTGATTAAAAGTAAGAGCTTAGTTTAAATGTATTCTGCACAAAGATGGCAAGGAAAAATAGAGTCAACATGTTTCCTCTGGTTAATCTAATTTTCCAGATTTGATGGCCAGTTTG